CGGTTGACTGGCGGCGGTGCGGCGAGGGCCTGGGTCCACTGTGGCGGTGAAAATCAGTCGCAGCAAGAACTCGTGGTGGTGGAGAAGACTGTTCCAAGGTTGAGCTTGGACGGAGTTGACTTAGGGTTTCAGTATAGGATGAAGTGTTGTAGGTCAAGGAAGCCAATGTTGGAAACTATAAGGGAAGAACCATTTTGTTCTAGATGAACCAATTGTTTCGCTACAACAGATAGATTTGGTGTAATAATGATAAAGAATTCTAATGAAGTTAGCCAGCTTATAGGTTTGAATTTTTGTTTTCTTATTTGTCAAAAGAAAGAGTAAATTAAATTTAGGGGCTTTAGCATATATAGCCAATATTATGTAGCTAAATAAAACTAATAGCTCACCATTTTCTAAATTAAGAGAATGGCCGATCTACTAATTTTCCTCAGGACCAAAAGACGAAATAACCCTTAAAGACTACAATACCCTAATTGCCTTTCTCAAACGAAAAACTTGGAGACCTGGAGATGGCATTTCGCTTGTACAACACGAAGACCTGGAGGTAGTGCTATGCGTTTGGACTGTGGGCGAAGAAATTGATAGCATGCAACGAAATAGCTGCCGCCGGTGGACAAACGAAGTCAAAGATTTAGCAAGGACACCACACAAATGCTAGGTGAGGCAAACTGAAGCTCTGCATTCATATGGGAAAACACACAAATGCGAGGCAAGGTGAAGCGAGGCAGACTTGCTGTTATAAATTCAGTGCCAAAAATCAAAAATGCTGCCAAGCTAAGGAACAATTACTGCTACAGTTTCAGGGTGAGGAAGTCCGGTAACACTGTGTTATTCAAGCCAAAGTTCAAGCGAGGATTTTGTAGATATTCTGTCAATGGCGCCAAAGAGGAAAAATCATCCTACTTCATCAGGTATTTTCGCAGAATCCTTGATGTGGGGTTGTATATTAGATGCTTAGACCTCTTGATTTCTCTGTTATTCAGAGCTGAAAACACCCTACCCTATATCGAAGTAACGATTGTTCAAATCTTATTTTCCATCATAAGAAATTATGACATTGAGCATCCCCATATCTACAAGATGACATAGTGTTGGTAAGTTATTACTGATATTACTTATCAATGAGATACTATAGTATATTAATGATATACTAATGTTAATTAGAAATACGAAAATGCCATCAATGAGATACTATAGTATATCAATGATATACTAACGTTAATTAAAACACGAAAACGCCATACTCCTTCACCTAAATCAGATCAAACTAGGTTCAAAAAAAATTACAGACGTCTTAGCTGATCATAGAAATCAAATACCCGAAATAAAAAATATGAACAGTGAGAAAATAATATGTTTTGTATTCGAAATTCAAGCAAATTGCATGATCAATGACAACAAAAAATAGATTAGGAATAGATAATTTATTGATTCAATGGATATATTACTTAAATATATGAAGATGATGGAAATTCGATTATGAATGATTCTCTTCAACCTCTGGAAAAATGAATACAAGACAATTTCTATTCGATAATGCAGTTTTCTGTTCAATATGATCACAATGTCTGGGGAGAAGATAAACAAGAGAGGCAAGCATTATACAATAAGATATGTTCTGCGATCCCTGATGAAGATGGTGAAAATAACCGTCTGGATGAAGAAATAAAATCAAATAAAATCAGATAAAAATAACATTAGTTATTAAAAATAACCTAACGGATTTGAGGACAAAGGAGTAAAAACACATTGAATTTATTTTTGAATGGACCATATTTCAAAATATTCAAAAAATTCTTCCATAATTTATGAAAGTTGTATTTTTTGAAGCCATTGAGCAAATTTTCTCTTAAATTTATCTCAATTAAATTTTATTGAAAGCATATAAATTTTTTTATTTAAGTCTGTTTCTTCTATTTAGATTTACACATTGTCATCTAAAACTAAGAAAATATTACATAAAATTTCTCTAAATTTTATTAAATATAGGCAATTTTTTATTTTTAAATAATACACAAATATTCTTTAAAATTAAAAAATAGTCTTTGTGATTCAGGTAAGATTTATAAGATATTTTTCTAGTTGATTCTTTATTTTTTGAAAATTTAATTTGTGAGGGAGCTTTGAAAATAAATGATGAAAATTTGTGAAATTTCAGTAAAACTTTGGAAAAGAGAATATAATTTTGTAATGAATAAATAATAATCTTTCTGATACATATATATATATATATATATCGTATGTAATTTCTCAACATAATTTGGACAATGTCAACGTAATTTACTCAAAAAGTTAATGAAAGCATTGTGAGTTGACTGGTTGACTAGTGTGTTTATCTTTCTTTTTTTTAAAAAAAAAGTATTAATTATGACCTCCCTCGTCAAATTCATGATTGGAGAACACAACCATAACCACATCCCTTAAATAAACGTACATTTAGCCTCTTTTTTAAGATAAGCATTACTCCCTCCCTTCGTTAAAAAATATAAAATATTTTTAATTAAATTTTATGTTTTAATAAAATAGTTACTTATTTTTAACTAATCTTATCTTTTTATATTTATCTTTATTTAATAAAGTGTTTTAGTCTAAAATAAAAATAAAATAATTTATTCAATAAGGCACTTTTAAAAAAAATAATGATTACATATTAAAAAATTAAAAATATCTTATATTTTTTAACGTCCAACTTCTTAAAAAGTATTTTATATTTTTTAATAGAGGAAGTATATTTTTACACTTTTTTTAAGATTGATGGTGAAATTGTATATTGAAAATAAAAAGCTTCTATCAGTACCTTGTTCGGGCTATTATTGAGAAAAAAAATAAAAAGTATTCTAAAGAGAAAGGTACAATACATAATTTAGATTTCATTAATTTAGAAAATGTAACAAATTCAAAAACATTTTATAGATTTTTTCATTCAAAGAAAAATGTCAACCCGTTTCTATTTTATTCTTTAAAATTATTAAACCCACCCTATATTTTTCAAAAGTTCTGGGAGGTCACTGTTTTGAGCATGAAAGAACGGATTCGAATCTAATTACCTGCACAAATAATCTATTTATTCAATAAGTGTTGTATATAGCATGGTAACAACTATCAATTTCATTCGATGATTGTAAGCAATTCTAACATATAATACTCAAAAAGGCATTAATTTTAAAATTTTGAAGGGGACAACATACATGAACTCGTGAACTGTATTTTGATCTTGAGAGTTGTTTTGAAATTTTAGAAAAAATATATTTTCATGATTTTCTAATGTTGACAAAATTCAATGTTTATAATTAAAATATTTATTAAATGAGTGAATTTAAGTTACTTTCTAGATTCAAATCCTGAAAAAAAAAAAGTAACATTATAAATGACGTGGACTGCCATTAAAGAGCTACGTGTTAACGTATTATACCTCAAAACCATTGTTTAATGGTAATTTCCAATTCTTTTTTCCTATGACACATAGTCCATCAAAAGGCATTGGCTTAATGATTAAGATCTACACATACACACTTGTATGTTTGCAGTTTGCACACATATATGCATTTACGAATGCGACGCGCGCATACTGACACATAGAATTTTCGTATTTTATTATATTTCAAAATAAGTCATATTTTTTATGATTTATAGTAAACACCTTTATATATAATATATTGATATTTTTTGTTATTCAAATCATGGTGTTTGGTGATTAATTAATTAAATTATCATGTAGTGTGTTTATTTATTAGTTTCTGTAACGTCTAATATATCAACCGAACAAAAATTGTCCATACTTTTCATTCATGTTATCCTTTTTCCACACAGTAATACTATCGCAAGGATTTCATATATACGATTTTTTTGGCCAAGATTTCATATATACGATGAAACTATAGTTTTCTGGAAATTCAATTCTTTAACTAAAATGTATTCTTATATGAAATTATAGGCTAAAATATTTTACTTAAGACAAATAAGTGCCAGACCACTTTAATTAACTGTTGTTATTAATTTGATGGAATTATATTTTAAAAATATCTTAAAATTCTTAAAATATACTCCCTCCATTCAAAAATATAGGCATGTTTTGAAGAGTTTGATGTTAAAAAATATAAGACATTTTTAATTTTTCAAAATATAATCAATACCTTTTTGTTAAAGTGCCCTTAATGAATAAACTAATTTATATTTATTTTAAGATGAAATAGTCTATCAAATAAGATAAATATAAAAAAAATATAATTAATTTGAGAATAAGAAACTACTTTATTGAAAGATAAGATTTAATTAAATATGTTTTATATTTTTTAATGGATGGAGTAAATTTTTAATGTATGTATGTATGTATGTGTTCTCCCATCTATGTGTCTCTCACTCTTTCGATTTTGTGACTGAATCTCAATCCTTAAATAAAGTAAGCACTGATGCCATGTGTATTGAAGATTAAGAGTACACCTGGGTACCTTTTCTTATTAAATTCCTTAATCAAAGGCATAACAATCATAGGTTCATGTGGGCTCTTTTCATTTCTTTGTTTCATATTATATTTGTTAATCAAGTGATGTGACATCATTAGCTGAGATTTCACTCATAAATTAATACTTCTTTATTGCCACTTTTCCTATTTTTTATTCTAGTGGAAAAATCAAATCGAAATGCAATATCTGAAAAAAGATTTGTGTTTAATTATCTTTGGTTCTATACATTTATACCCCAAAAAAATTTTTGGATCTATGAAAATAAATAAACTACACTGTTAGTTTTAATGGAATATATAATTATCAGAGTTTATTATTCCTTATCACAAGCAATATATTCTTAAGTTTTATTTGAACTATTTTATATGCAGATTGTTGTAATAATACACATTTATATTTAGGTGACTTTTACTCCGATTCTCAAGTGAACAACATTAGTGAAATGAATATATTAAGTGATGAATCATAAAAATCACAAACACAAAATATATATAGGTTATCTCTTGTTATTGAAGTTAGCTAGGCATCGTCAAAACTGATCTGGTACGTTTAAAAATTATAATTTAATTTCAAACTTTGCGATGTTCATGTTCTTCAAATTGATTTGATGTACTTATTAATATCTTTTACATAATTAACAACTTTTCATATTTCAAGGCAAGCGTGTGATTGTATAAATGTATAGACAGGAATCGTTATGAGCAAGAGTCCAGCCATACTGCTCATGGCTTGCTCTCTCTCACCATTCTGTAGCTTAAGCCAAGCTTTTTGCAGGCACAATCTTTTCCACTACCCCAAAATGAGAGCCCAGAAGCTCAGAGATAATGGTAAATATAACAACTGCTAATCTCCAACAAATCAGATCTCCATCAGTACTTGATTTATTTCTGTTTTCTGTCTATATAACTTTCTGATCTTTTTGCAGGTGAGTCTGGAAATATTGTTGATGCAAACATGAGGGTTTTGAGAGAGAGAATGAGGCACGTGAAGAAGAAAGAGATGGCGATGAGTACAAGAGGGTGGAATTATAAGCAAAGTTATGATGATCACCATAATATGCACAAGAGAGAAGCTGTGATATCAGAAATTGCAGAGACGATGGGTTTGGCTTGTGGTGCAATTGGACTTGTGTTTCTCAGTGGTTCTCTTTGCATCTTCCTTGTGTCTTTCCTAATTTCTCATCATGTGTAAAAATTAATAATTTGTAAGTTTAGTACCAAACCTTGTATGTTTGTTTTGTTTGGATTTGAAGGAGAATCATCTTGATATTGTAAATTCTCAGAAGCCTGTGGAGTCTCATTGCTTATAAGGAGGGGGAAAAACAAAAGTAGAATCCTTTGGAGTTTGGGTTGATATATATCCAATGAATTCTCCGTTTTGAAAGGAGGCATATTATCATATTTGATTTCTCTTACATGAAGAAAACTTATTCCATTTGATTAATTTTTTTCATCCGAAAAAAAAGACCTTAAAATTTGCTGAGGGTTAAGAAAATAGATTTAAATTTTTTAAAGTTAAGATTACTGAATTTATGTGAAGTTTTTTTAGTATTTTCTCTCATTTTATTATTTTAATAAAACATAAAAATATTCTCTCTTTCTTAAAAAAATAGAGGATTCTCAACTTCTTGGATTTAAATCCTTAAAAAACATTTCATATAAGGATAATCTAATTGATCTCTCTTTTTTTTTTCATTCAATTTTTTTGGCTTTCTAAGGTATTTTCAGAGCTTACTGCTATACAATTAATCACTCCAAAAATTTGTGTCATTTAAGGAGTTATTCTTTTCAAAGTAATGCTTGCCATACACACCTTTACAAATCAAACTTTAAAATAATATTTAAGAAATCCAAACCACTATGATATGTGTTATACACTTAGTTTTTTCGTTCAAAATTTTAAATGACCAAAAGTATATATGGATGATATTTTGAACTTGGCTATGGCTACTTGCTTTGATTAAGTCAATGTTTGATTTAAATTTAAGTTCTAAAGAACTCAAGCTTTATATTAGGGAGGGGGATGAGCTGGGCTATTTGATATGCATTTCTTTGCTTCAAACTTGTCTCCCGTCTCCATACAATATAAATGTAGATAATTACCATTACCAATATCAATGACATAGGAGGATTCAGTCCTAAGACTAAAGAGATTAGCTTTAAAACTTAAGCCCGTTTGGTTCAATCTCTCTCTCCTTTGGAAAAATGCAATGCAATGTAATGGGATGTAAAGCGATCTTAATATCAGTTTGAAATGGAGAGATGGTAATGGAGTGCAATGAAGATTCATAGGAAGGGATATGAATAAGTATTGCCATCATTTTAGTAATGATGTGTAATAGTCATTACCATGAGCCTATTAAAAAGCTAAATACTTTCATAATGGTAATGCAATATTGATTACCATTGCACATGTCCAATGTCATTGAACCAAATACTATCATAATTCGTTGTGATGGTTCAATGTTTACAATATATATGGGCAAATATTTATAGATTGAATTCGAAGAGATTTCTTAATTTGAGTAAAAGAGATTTTCTAGAAGGTAAAAGTTATTTATTCTTAATGAATCTTTTGTTCTGATATATATATATATATATATATCACATAAATCCTCTTTTTCGCTTTATTTCTCTCCAACTATACGAAAATATATAATCACTTTTAGGACTACAGAGGCTTTTGGGAAATCATTTTGTTTTATTTACTTTTTTTAAAAAAAATTGAGATCTTAGTGTGGAACTGCATAGCTTTAAAATCATTTGAAGATAGAAAAAATAAATTTAATTTCATTCTACACTCAAATCATCATCATAGGAAATGCATGCATGGGTACAGCTCATGGTCTCTAGTATTTTATAGACCATTTAAAAAATATATTTAGAAAAATAAAAAATACCAAAATTTCCATTTACCCAGTATTATGTGCAATATTTTAGTGTGCACTACACGAGATGATCACGTTATTACTTATTTATTTCTTTTTCTCCACAACTTTAATTTGGCTTTTCTACACAGTACAGACCATGTCTCTCTCTCTCTAGTTCGTATAATGGGAGTATGATATTAAGAAAAATTCTTGCGTGGATCAAGAGCACTCCATGCTCTATTCAATCAAATTGCACAATAAGTTAATTAAATAAAATCATATGTACTGTTATTTTTAATGACTTTTTTTTCGTAGTAGAATGCTTATTTAATTTATTGTCTTTATGTGATATAAATGAGTGGTAACATATAAAATTAAATGAATTTGACATGAAATGTTTTTATTAAATACTATTCAAACTTGTTGCTCCTAGTCCATGCAATAATTTCTTACTTAGAATTTTTAATATTTAAATCTTGATGTACAAAGATCATAATTGTAGGAATTGATTTGTGGTAAAGTCATATTTTTCTCTCCGCTCACTATATGCCTAATCGTAGTTTATAACTGGAACAGGGTGACGACTAATTTGAAAGATATTAAAAACTATACCTATTTTTAGAGACTAATTATTAATTGAAGTTGTTATCAATTTTTAACATATTTATTGTAAGGTTTTCAAATACTCATTACTAGCTTTTGTGAAAATTATTACCAATAAATTACTTAAAATAAAACTGAAAACTCTTTTAAAATGCAAAGTAATAACTTTTCTAAATTTCGATTAATTAATAATAAGTTTCAAAAATAACATTAATTAAAAATTAAAGTTTATATATGATTTATCCAAAGCCCTTTAACTTAAAATTTGTAAGAATAGAAAATTAATGTCAAGATCTTATGCAAAAATTGTCCAAACCCATGTCCTAGCCACCATATTGTATATACAGTGAAATAATGGAGAAAACCCAGTAAGTGGAAGAATGTTGATAACTCTCGCAAGTAAAAGTGACATGCACCTATACTCACAATAAGGTGGTAGAGTACAGGTGAGAACCAATCTCATTAGGCCAAAAAAACCATTTAACTTTACATCATTTTCTATTATATTTAATTAATTTTGTTATTATCTGATCAATATTTTGTTGAATGATATGTTTTCATAATACAAAACGAAGAAATAGGGGTTTAATTGTTACTTATACAGATCAAGATTTATAATGATTAAGTGATAAAACCTCCAAAAGCATGAAGAAAAAGAGAAGACTTTGACTTTATAGGTTTAATAACCTTTTATTTATTCTCTTAGAATATATTGTGAAAACTATTGAAAGTAAAATCATTAAATGAATGGTAAGAATGCATCTATTAAATTGTCTTAAGCTCATAATATCATAGATATTCATTGTCAAACATTTAAAATGCGTCTATGCTAAAATGTCTTATCCATGCTTGTTCTATCATGAGCACATGTGTGAATCAACCTTCCTTGTGCACTATAAGATTTAATGCATCCAATTCAAGCTTGAGTTAGAACTAAAAATCACTTGAATTAGACTTTAGAAGCATTGCTCAACATTGTAGGTCAATCCACGTGTGTCCTAGACTGGTCTTACTTGTGCTTAAGCCATTTGTAAAGGCAAGTCTTGTCTACATCATGGTTGACTCTAGATTGAGATCATACTTGAATAAGTCATTAAACTTATACTTGCTTCTATTAACTAATTTTTGTTTGAGTTAGTATTTTATTCATGCTTAAATTATCCTTATACAAGCTTGAAATGTTCCTTAATCCGCGCGTGACACCCTAATGATCCGTACTTAAATGAGTTCTTACACCTAGTTTCTTTTAAGCCTGATCTAGAGAATCTTAAGCCTTAACAATATAATTCAAGATTAATTCAAAAGTGACTCAATCGTGATTTGAATCATAGTGAGCACATTCCAATCCATGCTTAATTCAGTTCTACCCACACGTGTATGATCTCACAGTAGAAGTTAGGAGTTTCTGAACTCTAAAACATACTTGAATCATAATCACACTTGAACTAAACTAAAGTGAACCAGATCATTAAGCCTTAAGTTAATCCACAAATGTTCCCTTACTCATCGATGCGTGAATGATATTCTAACAAGCATTTAATGCACTTCGTAGAATAAATGCTTTTTCTTGTAAACTTTACTTTTAGACATCTTCAACAGCCATTTCACTTATCCTGAGTATTTCTAACATCTCTTTTAATCTAAACTATAAATAAGACATCATTTAAGTGAGTGGGTAGTGATTGAACATGTATTGAATCCCATATCATTGAATTCTTACCTAATTGCATTCATTTCTATGTGAAACTTACTCTCATCAGTTTATAGGCTTTACATGTATTAACTACTCTCTTGAGAGTTTTTTAAAGCATGCCCAAACTATTCTTATTATCTCTTTGAGAGAAAAATCTTTAGGAAAACACCTTCATCGTGAATTAAGGAAATTGTTCCCTTATCTTTATACAAAGAAAAGTTTTCTCGATGAAGGTGAAAAGAGTAAGAAAGAGACTTCCTTGTAGACAAGTGAGGTTGTTCTCTTGTGTAAGATACTCATCGGTATAGTGAGAAACTTGTAGTGATTTACAAGTAGTTAAATCAAATTTATGATTTGTACTATAGCAGCAAGCATCTATTGAAATTTGTGTTCTTAGAAAGGAAATTTCAAAAGTATTTTGAGAACTGAACATAGGTAAGTGATTGGACTAAACTTGGATAAATTCTTTCTCCAGAATATGTATCCATACTCCTTATATTCAGCTCATTATTACATTCTTGCACACTCTCTTGGTTCTTTGTTTATAAACTATCATTTACTTTACTTCATGGACAATATTTTGACAAACTGATTTTATCTTCAATATTTATTTTAGTTTTCAAGAGTTTAAGGATATCTTGTAAAAGCTTTTCAAGATCTTTGCCACAAAAGTATTTGAAATTATTGCAAACTTATTTGATAAATTTCTTGTTGCACCATATGTTTCAATTAAATCTTGAGAAAAGTTTTAATTAGTTTGAAAATTTACTTAACACCCACTTCACCTCATGTTTTGGATGTAGTTTCCTGATCTTATGCATTTTCTTTATGAAAAGTAGTAGGGATTTTCTCTTGAGGTTTTTTTACGTGAAAAGTGAGTATTTATAAATAAATCTTACCAAGAAGCTAGAGTAATTTCAAATTTCAGCAGTTATTATTACTTGTCTCAGATCTAGGGCCCATTTGTTTTAGTTATTTTCATGAAAAAATCATTTATTTTTTTAAAAAATATATTTCATGAGTTTTATTATGAGCCAGTTTGTTTTAGATTATTTCATGAAAGAATAACTTATTTTTTTAAAAAAAATTATTTTGTGTTTTTTTATCTCTACAAAATAAATTTTTTTTATAAAATCTCTAAACTATCTAAAAATTACTTATTTTTAA